AGAATCTCACTATACTGCTATCTTCATTTAATTTTTCCATCTCATTACTCAGTTCCCCAATTAGAAGTTAGCTTACCCAGTGGGAGCGACAATCCTATCTACACACTCTAAATCGCTACAATAAGGAACAGGATATGCTGGTGAGGTCAACTCTCTCCATTCGTCAACAACTGCTTGATGAACTCGAGGTTCCGTCTCATCACAGTAGCAGTCTGGAACAGATATCATCAAAGAGTTCTTTATCCTGGAAATTCCATAACCTCATTTATTCCTACCATCAGCTCCCATCCATTTAACGGAGAACGAGGCTATCTTGTCCAAAGTATAATTCTCAGGCAAAGTTCGCTGGTACAGAACAGTAGTATCGGTACGTTCAACGCGCTTCCAACTTCGCTTCAACTGTTTTCCAGTGATCGTCGAAAATCTGGAATTGTGACTTATCAGTTTTCTGTGCATCTTCAAAAACGACACTTAAATCCCTACCGTCGCACATCGGTTCCTGTAATTATTGTCAATGAATCGAATTCAGATGAGAAGTTAAATGTTGAGGTGAATTGCTGAAGGAGTTTTGGGTTAACTAAACCAATGAACTGCCAATTCGAAGGCTTACCGAATGCTCGAAAGTGTACGGTATTTGCCATTTGCAGTAAATTAAAGTACAGTGTCCTGGGACATCCATTTGCAAACTGCCTTGTGATCGCATCACTTTCATCCCTTTATGAGGACAAACACATTCTAAAATTGTGTAAACTACTTATCTGATAAGGTCTGTTTTTTAAAAATTTCAATACGCGATGGATCCTTAGAAAAACCAATTTCAGGGCTTCTTTGCCTAAATTGACAGTAATCTCAAACAATCAGGAACAAATGTACGGAAAGGGAGCGAGACAGATTGTAATGAAGAACATGTTAAATAATACTGCAAATTTTAGCATTAAACACTTCAAAATACCGTCAAAGTAAATTCAAAACAAACATGATGACATTTTTGCTCTACTAACAGTCAAAATGTAAAGTTTGCAATCTTGGATGAGTAGAAAACACGGTTAAGTGAATTTCTTTACCTAGTAAAAACGAGCTTCGGCTTTTGGAAATCCATATGTGGCATCTAAACATATGGACCTGTGGTTCTGCGTGCAATTACACAGTAAGCAAGAATCGAAGCAAGTGTGGAAAAAAGTTGGTGCACATTTATTTCTTTTCACTAACGCAAGATTTCTATGGTAGTGCATTAGCTGAAATAAGAACAACGAAACCCTTTATATTTTGGAGTTGGCATTTTACCAAGAGAAGGTCAAATCTAAAACCAAAAAAAGGTTCTCTTCCCTCATACAAGACTCGTTCGGTTAGAATCTCCTCACCATGAGGCATCCATACTGATACAACACTCATATTGTAGCCGTGACGAGTCACTAAGTGATCAGTGACAAACTCAGTCTCCATGGTGTCACCGGTC